GTAGCAAGTGCCACGCTAGTAGTAACAAGTGCCTTACTAGTAGTAACTAAGAAGCTATTAGAAACAATAAGCTAATAGCTTTCTTGTTTCAAACATTTTGTTTCTCCTCGCATGTACTAATTCCAATGCAGGACTACTGCTACTAACTTGCGGAGCCAGTCGACCAAAACACCAGTGCAGAAAACGGTACCCCCCCTTGCCACCACCGTATACCACCGTGAAGGCAAGTGTTTTTACTCAGGGGTGGGGTCAAAGTAGAATGGTGCACTTTGCTCGTCAAATTGTGAAACAAGTCATGTACATGTTACATGACCCAACTTCGTCATCTGAGTCAAAACCCAACACTCCATGCAACTGGCATAAATACCAATGGGGTGGTTGACCCGAGGTCAGTAATGGTCAAATGTATATATATATATGTACATATATATATATATAAACCCATGCCATACTGCCATACCTGGAGTGTTGGGGATAGTGATCTTTCGGCTACAGGATTCTACTGTGCCTTTGGACTACAGTATTTGGGACTTGGCTTTCTGCCTTTGCTGTGACGCTTCCTACAAGCAAGGATGGGAAAAAGCAAAACTCTTAGAGTGATCAGGGGTAGATGCAGGACTCCTTGATGAAACCGAACACGTACATCCTCTCTGGTGGAAGCGCATCCTACTCTGGAGAGGTCCCCAACAGGTGGCGCGGAGAGGTCTGGTTCCTTAGGTCGCTGTATCGCCAATCCTCCCTTTTTTACTCACAGCACCTCGAAAAAACCACTGCATCGTTTTGCAAAACCATGCTTCAAATGCCCCTTGGGCACATCAAGCATCACACTGGCACATGCACATGCCAACACATACGATGATTCAAAAACAGGATTTTATTGTTGTTTTTGCAAGTAATGACTCATGACCTTGAATTATCCTCACACCAGCATATGGTCTTTTCCTTGCACCAATTCTCTTACAATATCAATATATAGTTATATATACAGTATATAGTATATTAAACTATATGTATATAATATATATAAACATTATAAACACGATCTTTTCCCACTTTCCCCACCCGGGCCTTTCGCATTTCAGTCAGCCCAGACACTTGATCCCAGGACAGTCAGGTCCGCGCGATAAGGCCACCGAGCAATGCCCCGGCTCCGCCTCACCTTGGTGCCGGTGGCGAGCTCAGCAGGTGGCGAGAGAGGTCCTGAAGGTCAACAGGTGAGCTGAAATCCAATGCGATAAGTTTTCCAGACATTTTTTGTGGACTTTCTGCTGTTCAAATGGAAACCCATGTGTCCTTTGGGTCACAAACAAACATCACAAATTTGGGCCGCCTTGGGCCGGGCAAGGGGAGGCCGCTGTAGAACGGGACAATGGGTATTTGGGCATCTCCAATGGTGCAGGATTTCGAGCGTGCACACTCTCACTGGCAAAGATTGCTATCTGCACAGGCAATCTTGCCTCGCGCCCGGTGGGCGCAGGGCTTCTTCGAGGGATCGTCTGTTGCAACGGTATAATAAACATCTCGACCAAGGTGAGGATGGACTGAAGGATGGACTGAAGGACTGGTGGAATTACTCCCAGAAATCATCATTGGCAGTGGCTGGATGGCATGGATGACCATTTGCCACGTTCCGAAAACCCAACAGTGTGAGGTCATGTGAAGTTCACTTGTGTTTGGAGTGCACGTATACCCCACGCCACTCTGAGTGGACGCACCCTGGATTCACTGCGGTCTCACCCCGGACATAGATGCGAGGAGATTGCGGTGATCGAATCTCCAAGTGGCGGCTGCCGTTGGGGTAGAAGGACAGCTGCATCTGTCCTTCCTGGTCGAACAGGAACATCTGGACAAGCGAGGGTTGGCACAAGTTGGTGCAAGTCTTGTGAACAACCCAGGAACAATAACAGCTTTGACCGCACTTTGTTATCTTTGTTGGCTGAAAGGCCCAACTAAGGAAGTATATGAGCATATGAGCATCCATTCCATTCATTGCCGCACAGCAGAATCCGTGCCTGGATACTGAATGTGGGTGACATCACACAGGAGTCCTGCCAGCAGGTCGAAGTTACCACCCTCTTGTGGGGTATTCTGGTCCCTTCGCACCCAATGAGAAACTGTTCGGAGAGTCAACAAAAACATCAAAACACTTAAGCTTCCATACCCTTCCCATTCAAAAGATCTCAACGGAGCATGGGCCCTCCTCTTCGGGGTCTCGGTGCCCAAACCCTTTCAAACCCGATCCCAACCGCTTCAGCGGACCATTTGAGCCGACGAAGTACCCGCGATTTCGCGATGCCGTCCCTTTCACCGGCCATCGGCTACCGCCATGTCGGTCCTTGGGAAACTTGCAGAGTTCCCGCCAGGGGTCCGAGACGGTCCAATCAAAGCGGGAGCCTGAGACCAAGGCATCCGGACCTGGCTCGAGTCTGTCGGACTCGTCGTCGAGGCTAAGGCTGGTAAGGAAGGACGAAGGGACGGACAAACTGGTTGCCGATGAGGTGACCAGCATCAAAGGTCGGGCGCCCGGTAGCCTCTCAATGGTTTGCAAAGTGTCCAAGTGTTCGTGCGACGCTTGCGTCACTTCAGATTCAGCTGATTAAATTCACTCTGACGATGTCATACGCTAACTATATTATACAAAAAGAGTCACGAGCCACTTCCTGAACGATATCCACGTGTGCGTGTGCATCAGCTCTGACACCGACGACGATGCATCTCTTCAAACAGAACGATTGAAAGTCAGCATGGAGTACCGCATCGTGAGTGACTCCAAAGAACATCATAGACAAATCACTGCAATTCACATGGAGGTGGATGGCGCCACCTGTTTGTAGTGGATTTCATGGTCTTCCAAGTAGGCGCCATGCCATCCACGTAACCATGTTAGTTGCAGGGAGTGTAGAACATATGACCTGGAGACGCTGTTCTACGCCGGACTACGTCGCTTTCGAGCTTGGGTCGTTCTCGATCGAAACACGTCGCCCCGTTCCGAGCTCTCAGCCTGGCCGGACGGAATGAAGGTTGCTTTCTGCAACCCTGTCGCGTTTTCAACGTTTTCACGGGTATATACACGAAGCATAGACGACCACATCCCAGGAGGTCCTCGATTCTCTCCCCCATGAGGAAGGATTCTCTCCTCTCCCCATAAGGAATCCACAGCATAAGGCAGGAGGATTCACCCAGTCAAATCGGTCCTCCCCCACCCAGGTGGCTCCGAGCACACCACCGAGCGTAGCGCCTTCTTCCACGAGCTGAAGCTCGATCGCCGCGGGCAAGGTGAAGTCACCCGGGTCACTCAAGTCCGGCAGAAGCCCCTGAGGGTGGGCGCATGGGGAAACCCACACAGCGGACAGGTGGGACGTGACCAAGAACCAGGAATATTCGTACACTTTGTCCAAGAACGTTCAAGATGCTCATGAAAACTGCATGCTGTTCTCTTGGCACATCAAGAAACATGAAAACCCAAACCTAAGAATCGATGGCTGTCACCCAAACGATCCGGACTCTCACCCAAACAGCCAGAGTTGTGGGGCTTCAGGGCTCGGGGAGGGCTCGTCTGGGCCTGGGCCTTTTGTGATCGTGAGGGGCCGAGGGCAAAGCAGCAGCTTCATTAAGCAGTTTCATTGGAGTGCCAGTACGTGTCACTATGAGCTTGTGCTACATCAAGATCATGAAGGGTGCTTGAAGCATGCAAGATCTTGCAAGCATTCCAACTGCATGTGTTGCGCAAAGTAGTTCACAACATGTGTTTGCAACAGCGGTGTTCATTATCTTCGTCACGTGTGCCATGGATTGATGGTCCGTGGGCATAAAAGACTTCTACAAGGCCGGCCCTGCACATACAAAGTAGAAGTAGCACATAATATATATATATATATATATTGCGTCTTCAAAGCAGAGTGCAACGCAAGCAACTCTTGCTGCAAGACTTCCTCACGGTTTGATGTATGGCTGGCGTTTGGTTCAAGCCAAGTGTGTTGCATCATGGCCATGGACACTGGCGTGATCGCGCGCACCGGCTGCCTAAAGCTTATGTGCAAACGAGGAGTAGCCTCAGTTCACACAGCTTACAATAGTTGTAGATATGATGCGGATTGATGCGGCATGTCTCTTTGGCAGTGCCCTGACGCATTGCCAGAAGAAAAAAGCCTCCATGCAACACCCTCTTAAGCCAAATAAAGACGTGGATTATATTGGCTATGAAGATATGATCACCTCCTTCCCGCTCATAGTTGCCTCAAGTGAGTACTCTCCGAAATGCGACATGGCTGAACTAGGTAAACTCTATTTTTCAGCTCAGCAAAGGTGAGCATACCACAGACTTTCAGCTTAAATCTTGGAGATCGGAGATAGACGAGGAACGTAATGGCGCCCTATCTAATCGCAGAAGCGGGCGAACGGGCACGTTGGGTCCTTGACGTATTTTGACCACATGTACTACCCATGGGCAATGGGCGCTAGGCAGACAACAATCCAAGGGGGGCTTGAGAGATGCTAGGGACAGCTAAGGACAATTAACTAAGGACAGCTCTCCCTTTTTGCTTTCCAGGAATTAGCATGAATATGATGATGGTCGGTTTGATGAGCCATGCTGATTATGCTAGGGAATTTCGGAAACGCCGCCTGATGCGACGTCCGCAGGGTGGAAACCTCCCATTGACTTCGTAAGACTTCGTTGCTACTCCCGGTTCGGCGCAGTTTTCGCGGCGGGGCTTCGGCGCGGCTTCTGCCTGCAACAAGGGCGAGCCCACCGGTCGGATCATCGGCGAAGGCGTGGGCGTTCGTCCCCAACCTGCGTGGCGAGTGGGACATCGCGATGCGGGCAACATTGCGGGGTGGGACAAACCACCCACCCTTGATTATATAATCTTGAAATTAATTGAGGGTGGTCTTACCCACCTGCCAGAGATGAAAACAGAGGGTATGACAGTGAATCGATTAATTTAGTCTAGATTCGTCTAGATAATTAATTCTGGTTGGCTACACATGGCTACACCCTATTGGAACATCAGCGAGGTTGACCATCGTTGGCCACAAGAGAAACACACATAACACTAACCGTCACTAACCTATACTAATCTGCAAAATGACGCAACATGTCCAATGTTTTCCTGCGGAATGCATCACTCTATGTCGCTGGTCTCTCTGGTCCCCAACTTTTTTTGGCGAACCCGATGCATAAGCTCTAATTACTCTGAAGTGTGGAGCAACAAATAGACAAAACAATACAAAAAGTGTGCACTTTAGGATATAAAGTGTGCAGTGTGCACACGGTAACACACAGTATAGCACCCCTCAAAAGTCAAGTTGAGGCTGCCTGCGCGGGTGGGTGCATGCTTTTCTATCATGAAAATTAATTGGGGGTGGGTACACCTCCTACCCACCCCTAATTAAATGCACACATTGCCAAAGCAATGGTGGTAACCACCACAAATAAAAATTCACTACCACCAACCACCACCAAAATCTATCTGTATTGAAACATTCCCAAAATAATCAAAGGTGGGTCACTTCCCAACCACCACCAATTAAAAAAACAAAATGCAATGTCAAATTTCATCAATTTTTTGTTAATTAGTATAGTTGAACCTGGGTCTACCCCCCAACCACTCCTGTTTAATATGCGCAACTTGGACGGGAGGGCGAGTGTGTAGGAGTTGCACGTTCTGGATGGCGTTGGCTATCGTACTTCCAGCGGTTCCCTGGTTCAACCTCATTGACCAAAAAAAGTACTCGATGCTGTCTTCCATCGTTGTGACCGGTTCCCATACAGTGTCAGGAGGCCAGCCCTGTGAACGGAGGACCAGGTAGGCACACATTGAAGCAAGGTGGATCGCTACGATGCAGTAGAGCAAGTATTTTGATGCCACCACTTAGCCTGCGGCCTGGAGCACCCAGGCTCTCCTGGTCTTCAACGAAAAGGAGGAAGCAGCTACTAAGCACACACCAAACAAGTCCGTCACACTGCAGATTGTTGCAGTCTCTTTCAACCAGAACTGTGCTTCCAGATTATTCTCAACCACATGCACACCAAAAAATTAGTTGGGGCTGCCCCCACCACCACCTCAAAAAATGAATCACGACCACCCACCACCCACCCATTCCAATTAATAAAACTAGACGACGAGTGGCCCGAAAGCATTTTTCATCACGTAGGAAATCAGAGTGCGAGTTACCCGGTAAGTGTGTAGTGAGAAGTGTTAAGTCGAGTGAGTTGAGGTAGTGTGTGGGTTTCTGTGCGTGTGTCTATGTCCGTGTGGAAACGAGTCTGCGTATGTGTGTGTTCGTGGAAGTTGAGGGAGTGTGTGGGTGTTTGTGCGCGATGCGGCCTCCCAAACCCCCCACCGGCGGCCAAGCGGTGACAGCCCAGCTCATCGTCGTGAGCATTTGGGCTGCTGGTAAGGGGACAATGGCAGCCAGCGTGCTGGCTTACCCACTTCAACTATGATGG